AGGGCACATACCCGGGGTGTGGGTTCAGTTCCTGGTAGGGGCAACTGTGGGAGGCAACCAATGAATCAATCTCAATCTCTCAATCTCTCTCTCTCTCTCCGCCCCCTCACTCTATCAGTAAAAACATGTCCTTGTGTAAGGCTTAAAAATAAAAAATAAAAAAAATTTAAAGTTAAAAAAAATGTACAAAATGTTCATACTATTTTGTCATATGTTGAAATATCTCTTTTCATAAAATACAACTGATATTTAAATGCACTAAATTGGCCCAGTAACTTTATTTCTGAGTAGCAGGATGAGGCCTCTGAAAGCAAGACATTTTTTTTCATGAACTCAAAGTTCAAAATGAGAACAGTATTAAATTAATACCTATTCTATTTGTACTATGAAAATCACAAATTACTCATGGCCTGACGTTATGGAGCAGAAGCAAAGGCTACCGTGCATTTCAATTACCTGTAGAGAAGTGATTCTATCATAGTGAATGGTAGTCATCTCGTTCTCTGTCAGAGCATTTCCAGTCTGGTCATTAATCTCGAAACCAGTATAGAACTTAAGCATGTCCAAAAGCTGAAAGGATATATTTAAATTAACAAACTGTGTGAACATAAGAGCAAGAAAGCATCAACAGACACTGTTTATTAAACTAATAAGTCCATTTACCTTCTCAGAGGTGCTGAAAATTTTTATAATGTAAAGAGTACAACAAACATTTCAGAACATACCCAAGTGTTTTATTTATGTGAGAATAGGTACGTATGTGAATAAATTAAGTCTATTTCATATACATGGTCTACTTATACAGAGAAGAACTTAGGCTCTAATCCCAATAATAAGAGACACTGATGATCTAATCCAGTGGTCGGCAAACTCATTAGTCAACGGAGCCAAATATCAACAGTACAACGATTGAAATTTCTTTTGAGAGCCAAATTTTTTAAACTTAAACTATAAAGGTAGGTACATTGTTATTAACTTAATCAGGATACTTCTAAGGCTTAGGAAGAGCCACACTCAAGGGGCCAAAGAGCCGCATGTGGCTCGCGAGCCGCAGTTTGCCGACCATGGATCTAATCAAAGCCAATCATTTCAATGGGGGGAAATCAATCTACATGACTGCAAATTTATAGAACTATACCACTAGAGGAAACTCCTGAGGTCTTCTACTTTGGCCACTGAGAATTTTCTGAATGAGGGTTTTGGAATTCATGATAGGAGAACCTCATCCATGAGGGAAAACAGCAAGGTGGGGAAGGCTAACTGATCTACTCCTTTCTTTAGTCTCCATGGCCATCAGGCTGTGCTTTGGCTCAATTCATGCTGCTAAGCGAGGCCTGCTTCCCCTGCAGCAGCAGCAGCAGCACAGTTCATTAGGCTGCCTTTGCCCCAAATCTTTATTATTCTTAATTCTAATCTATGGCATAGCAGATAGGATTTTAATATATGAACCAAATCACTGGGATTTAATAAGAGAATGAGAAAGAAAAAGGAAAGCTCACAGACATAATATAAAAGAAGTCTTATAATATGTAAACACATAAAAATTGTATCTCTAACTATGACCTCATCAAAAGACAAGTGTTAGAAGTTTGTTAGAAGACTTTTCTTCTGGATGACATTATATGAAATGCAAAATGCTAACACTTTCATCTTCTTATCCAAGTTAACAGAGCGTATAAACATCCACGCTCAACGGCCTGGCAGCATCATAGCTTGGAAGGAGGGCCGTAGTGTTAGGGCATAGTTTACTTGAAATTAGTGCTCATCATCTGGTATATTCCACAGTGGTTATGTGGGACCACATCACACACAATTTAGTAAAATAACAATAAAATCACATGTGATTAGCACAATGTTATAATATCTCAGTACTAGAGGCCACCTATACAGGAATGCATTCATTTTGTATATTAGGACTTGATTTTACTTAAAAAATGACAATAAGAAATCTTCATTATTCAATTCAATATAAAGCAAAATTACTTTGAGTGATGCTCTGGGACTCCCAGTTTCATGGCAGAAAAAGGTCATTTCAGAAATAAGAGCAGTAAGTACGTTCAGATACATCAATGCTCACCTGGGAAAAAAGATGGCCATCCTCTTCCCTGTGAACAAGGTTGGAAAGGTAGCAGTGAACCAAAAGGTGGGAGTCGTCCAGGATGGTATTAAACCAGCGCCTTGTGGGGAGTAGGGCCTAGAAAAAATAAACACCACGGCAGTAAGTCTGCAGGTTTTCTGTAGCTGAAGGTGAAACTATTGATATTTAAAACTTGAAAGTGTTAATCACATCCAAAGTCCCCTCCAGTCGCCCAAAGACACCATGCACAAAGCAAGGTCCATGTTGTAAATAAACTCGTGTTAATATTTCTCAAAAATACAGATTTTTGAGTTTGTTTGTTTTTTTTCATATAAAATCCTATATGAAATCCCAACATGTACTGTGTATAGGTTTAAAAATGAAGCTGCTTTGAGAAAACAGGGAGTGAGGAACCCTGAGTGGAGACTTCTTTTATGGTTCGCACCCCCCACACCCCTTCTGACAGTCAGCAAGGCAATGCTGCGGAACTGCCAGTGTGAAAACCACTAATCTAATCAAACACCCCCATTTTATGGTGAAGTTATTGAGGTCCCCAGAGGTTATAAACTAGTTACAAGCAGAGCTAGAAAGTGAATGAAGATCTCATGAAAGACTGTTAGTTTAATACTCTGACCCTCATGCCAAGAAACCACCCCACCTTTCCAGATAAGGACCAGACAGAAAGGATTTTCTTTCAATCTGCTTCACTAAAAATGGACAGGAAATAAGTTCAATCTGAAGTACACCAACTCTGTATCTGAGTTTTTCATCAAAATCTTACCTAATAGTATGAAATTTTCTTTTCTAAGAATCTTAATGAGAAAAATTGACAATAGCAGCTGTATCGTTCTTCATCAACATTAGGCAAATTTTTAAAAGTGAGATTATTAAAGAGATGGCCACAAACCCATGATTTCAGCCACTATTGAGAACTCTGTGAAGAGGTATTAAAATGTGACAGAAAATAAACTGCCATTGCTGATCATATTTAACAACTATACTAAATAATGTTTTTTCTAAAAAAGCAGCCATCTGAAAACTTCAAGGGTCAACTGCTTTGATTTTCTTCTCTGCGACACTCTGAAATAGGCACATTAAACTAAGGCCAGTTTGAAGTGATAAAAATATTTCATATATAGTGTCATATGCATAATCTTAGTCTCCTTAATGATTACACGATAGAAAAGTCACTGCACACTTCTTACCTCTAGATCAATCATAAGTTCAATGAATCTTTCACAGTAATGAACTTTGTCCATAGTGACAGGTTCTAGATATAATGAAGAAAGCATGTTAGAATTTTCTTACTTAGGTTATTCTGTGTTACTATCCTAAAATTGGCAGTGATTTAAACAAGGCCACTTGTCTCTTATTCATCAGGATTGGACTATGATCAGAGTAAGGACCTCACATAGATTTCAAAAGAAGGCAGGCCCTACCCTTATGTTTAGCTCTACAAGTATAAGAAAACGAAAAACCTAGCTTGGATCAGAAACACATTATAAAAATAAGATTTGTAAAAATATTTTAAAGTGTTAATTTTTAAAAATTTGTGAATGATTAGATTTTGAAAAAACCTGAAATATAAAAACTAGAAAGGCAGTTTTATATAAGTTCTCACCCCTTTCCTTGTTGTCTTCACATGCTAATTTTCTAGAACTTTCATGTGCATAAACACATGCATATATGTGCACATGTATGCATACAAATATACTATAGAATACATAGAAAATGGGTGGGAAAGATACACACCAAACCAATTAACGGGATAATTTTTATGACTTTTTCCCACTGTACATGTATTTCTTTTGACATTAACATGTCAATGACACAGAGCAATAAAATGTTTTTAAATCACTCTTATTTTATACCATCCATGAGCATAATGCACTACTGTAAAAAACACATTTTTGTTGTAAATAATTAGTCTTGTGACATGCATATTTTCAGAGTACAAGGTTTTTCCGAATGCCAGAAAATGGTCTACCATTTTACTAGCTAAAAGCATCCTGGCAAGATTGTTTCAATTAAAAAGGAGATAATTTCAGGGTCTCTACTGCTGCTCAGTCTAAGGACTCCCAGCAGTAACTAACACAGCACTAGACCTGTAGAAGGTACCCTACAAATGCTTATACTAATCCATTTATTAAATTTAATAGAGGCCCGGTGCACAAAATTTGTGCAATCGGGGGTGGGGTGGGGGCGCACATCCCTCGGCCCGGCCTGTGCCCTCTCGCAGTCTGGGAGCCCTCAGGGGATGTCTGACTGACGGCTTGCTCCCCGCAGGGAGTGGGCCTAAGCCAGGCAGTCAGATATCCTTAGTGCTGCTGCAAAGGCGGGGAGGCTCCTGCCACTGCCGCTGCGCTCGCCAGAGGTGAGCCCGGCTTCTGGCTGAGCAGCACTCCCCCTGTGGAAGCACAATGACCATCAGGGGGAAGCTCCTGCATTGGGCATCTGCCCTGTTGGTCAGTGCACGTCATAGCAACTGGTCGTTTCGCCATTTGGTCAATTTGCATATTAACCTTTTATTATTAAACTAGAGGCCCGATGCACGAAATTTGTGCAAGGGGCTTGGCCCTCGCAGCCCGGGCTTCATCCAGAAGGTCCTTCGGCTGTCGGGTCTAATTAGCATATTACACTTTTATTATTATAGACTAGAGTCCTGGTGTGTGAATTTGTTGCACTAGTGGGGTATCTCAGCCTTGCCTGCAGGATTGGGCCAAAACCAGCTCTCCAGACATCTGCCAAGGGGTCCCAGCTTGCAAGAGGGTGCAGGCCAGGCCGAGGAACCCCACCAGTGCACAATCAGGGCCGGGGAAAGATGCGGGAGGTTGGCCAGCCAGGGAGGACTGCGGGAGGGCTACAGAGCGTGTCTGCCTGTCTTGCTCAGTCCCGATCGGCTGAACCCCAGCAGCAAGCTCACCTAGTGGTTGGAATGTCTTCCCCTTGGAGGTCAGTGCACATCATAATGACTGGTTGTCTGCCCCCTGGCGGCCAGTGTACGTCATAGCAAGCGGTTGAGCGGCCTTAGCATATCATTAGCATATTACACTTGAACGGCTGACCAGATGACCGGACACTTAGCATATTAGGCTTTTATTATATAGGAGGATTTATGTGTAGTATACAGGAAAATAGAAGGCATTATATGACAAAAGAAATGTGAATACTTTTGTGACTAAGATATGGAAATGTTAACTGGAACTTTTCCATGTCCATAATCCAGACCCTAAAATTACATAGCCATAGAATTTTATAACTGGACAAGACCTTACAGAGCATCTACGTCAGCTCTCCATTTTCTAGGTGAGAAACAGAGGACAAGAGAAAGTGACTTGATAAAATGTAGAACAAAGTAATGGCTGCTTAGAAGTGGAATCCAGGTTTTCTGTAACATAGTCTAGGTCATACAGCTGTGCAAACTAAAGAATTTAAAGGAGAAACTTTTAAATTAAATCCACTCAAACCAGTTCTCTGCTGCTATCTTTTGTTCTTGTTACTGACAAAGGAAAATATTTTTGCCTAATATTGAAAATGTGAGCAAACTCTGTACTCTGTATTTTTATTTATTCCTTGAGAAAATTACCGGCAATGGCTTATTTAAAGTTTGAATGGGATGATGCCTGGCACTCTGCTTCTGAGCCCTGGCGGATAAAGCTGCATACTTTTAAATTAGTTGGCCCTATCGGGCATGTTGTTTAGAGCGGACACCTTGTTCTTCCAATTTCAGGCATCAAGATATCCCGTCACTCGCTTCTTACATGCATTATGGTTTTTTCTTTCCTCCTGACAGCAGTCCTGGCATCTTAGCTCATCTTACACAGAGTTCCTTTGCAACAACTGATAAGGACATGTTGTTTTTAATGACCCTGTAAAATGAAACTACAATTCTTATTCTTTTTAAAAGTAGTTTCTGTTTCCTAACTATATAATCCATCTTTAAACCATCTCTGATCCAACTCACACTGTTTTCAACATCTTGTTTGTTCCTTTGCAACAAGTTAGTAAATTGTGACTGAAGCTCAAGATCAATCTAAGAAACTTTGTTTTCTGGCAGTACTAGTATATAATAACAATGTCAACAGTGAGTGGTTTAACGGTTGTTAAACTTACTGCAGGCCCTGTGTTGTTGGTACCTGATCATTAAACCTTTATAAATGGATAGGTAAACATTCCATAGCTAGAATGGATAAACATTCACAAACATTTTTATGAGCTAATTATTACAGATATTAGTAATTCTAAGCACTCATTATCTACTAATTGCTGCAAGGAAACCAAATCTAAGTCACCTTGTAAGTGTAAGCAGCTTAACTGAAAGATTTGAATTTACTAATATTAGGTGACTCAAATTATAAGCATGACAATTTCTTCTTTATACTGATACTGATAGTAATATCAACTGATCTACAGCATTAGTACTATTCCTCGCTGAATTATAGGTATGATTTTCAGTTGTAAAGTGTTATTTGGAGGGTCAGAATTTGTAAGTAATTCTGTTGTATTTTCAGTTTAAACAAAGCTACAATCTCTGATGCAAAAATAGCACTATGATACATCTATAGAGCTGTTCTTATATTACATTCCAGTTAGGAAATAGAATATTATTAGCCAATGACATATCATGCATAGCATATATCCACCTTTATTAAGTAAAGAATATTCTATTTGCATTCACTAAATGTTTATAAAGATCTTATAACCCAGCAAAATGTAACTGGCCTGCTTGGCATGAAAGCATATCTCTCTCTCTCTCTCTCTCTCACACACACACACATATACACATACACACATCTATATACAGTATAATCATGATATATTGTAAACATTTTTAAAAATCCTTATCCAAGGATATGCTTATAGATTTTTTTGAGAGGGAGGGGGAGAGAGAGACAGAAACATCCATCAGCTGCTTCTTGTATGCACCCTGGCTGGGGATCAAACCTGCAACCTAGGCATGTGCTGTGACCAAGAATTGAACCTGCAACCTTTTGGCGTATGGGATGACGCTCCAATCAGCTGAGCCACCCAGTCAGGACAATGATCATTATATATTTTAAAGTGTATACTCTACATAGTATATACTTACATGTTTTATCAATAAGTGGGGGCCACAATGGAGGGAAATCCTTCCTATTTTGTCTTGTACCTCATACCTCAAAGAAAATTCTCTTTCTCCCCAAACAGTATTTGATGTCACTTGAAAACACTGTTCAGCACACCATACTGTAAATACTATGTGGATAGGGTCTGTGACTATCTTGTTTACCACTTTGTCCTAGCTCCTTGTTCAGGATCAGGGTCTTCTAAGCAAGCTAAAAAAAATTTGCTAAATAAGTGAACATTTCGCCCTAACTGGCTTGGCTCAGTGGATAGAGCATCGGCCTGCAGACTCAAGGGTCCCAGGTTCGATTCCGGTCAAGGGCATGTACCTTGGTTGCAGGCACATCCCCAGTAGAAGATGTGCAGGAGGCAGCTGATCGATGTTTCTCTCTCATCGATGTTTCTGACTCTCTATCCCTCTAATATTTAAAATAAATAAATAAATAAATAAATAAGTGAACATTTCAATAACCATGCTGATGCCTTTAATATGCCTTTGATTTTTTCATAGCAATCACAATGCTGACTGGTAATATACTTGAAAAGGGGAGGACATACACTTCATCATTTTCATTTAAAATCATTCTACCCTACCCGGTTTGGCTTAATAGAGTGTTGGCCTGCAGTCTGAAGGGTCCTGGGTTCAATTCCAGTCAAGGGCATGTACCTCAGTTGCAAGCTTGATCCCCAGTCCTCATGGCGTCAGAGCTCATGGGGAGGCAACCAACTGATGCTCGCTCGCTCTCTCTCTCTTCCTATCCCTTCCACTCTCATTAGAAAAGTCAATGGAAAAATATCCTCGGGTGAGGATTAACAAAAGAATAAAATAAAATCACTCTAAGAGCAGTTTTTAGAGTAAAGATTAGTAAATCCTATATGGACATCTAAATAACTTCACAAATAAGCCGAGTAAAAGAAGACAGTTACCGGAAAGTGGGACTGACTTCAGCACGGAGATAAACTTCTGGATGAGCTGTGAAAGAAATCTTCTTTCTTGATAGGCTCTAAAATCACATTCAGAATGACCAATCATTTTGAAAAGCAATTATTTCAAAAGTAAAAGATATTGAACAAGTCTTTCTTACACTGTTCAAATGTTCCATCTCTCTCTGAAATTAGGACGATAAACTGAACACAAAGCTTCCTCTCTGTATGTAAAGACAGTACTACATGAAGAGCCTCATCCCTGGCCTAATAAGCCACTAAAAAAGCACCTTTGTCTTCTTCAGGTAAAAGCTTTCACTTGTGACTCAAAGGTCAGGACAAGAAAGGAGTTTCCAAAATTTAATTTATAGTCTGTCCTTAACATAAAAAATCTATTTAAGGTATGTAGTTAAAACAAGATGAGCAATTTTATACTTTAATATGCTTAAAAGTATTAAATATAGTAGAGTATTACAATATCTTAAAATTAAATGTAAGTTTAAAAAACAATTTCTACTCCTTACTAATTTAAATAGCTAGTAGAATTAGAGGGTTCCACACTCAAATGGCTTGAAAGAATTCAGAGGAACAGGGCAGAAAGGTAAGTTTGGGAGGAAAACGCAATTAGTGTTGTTTGCTTAAGCCAAATTGGAGTTCATGGTAATGCATTCAAACAGAAGTATACAGCAAAGAGTTATACAAAGATCGGAAAATGTGGAAGTCAGGGCCAGAGAGATTTAAGGGTGAATCATATTGAGGTAAAAAAAAGAGGGGGTTTTAAAAAAAAGTATTCAAATGATGCAAAGACATCATGTAATTAGTCCAAAAGGAATGAAAAAAAGCAATTAAAGGTGGAGAAAGAAAAAGGATTACTGCTAGGACAGTCATGTAGTAAACAAGGCAAGAGCACAATTAGACCAGTTAGCCTCAAAGAGATAAAGAAATAAACTCTTCAGAGTATGCGGATCCTTTCTCTGGGTCCTACTAATAGAACTCTCATCGATGAATACTTGCTACCAGACTTTTATCCAATGGATAATTACTATTAAAATAACCCATAACCCTCACCTGCTTCTTTAATCCTTATACTTGATTTGTTTTTCTCCTTAGCATGTATCACCATCTAATATACTATATATAGTAATTCATCTGTTTATGGCTGTCTTCCTCAACTAGACTGTAAGCTCCACAAGGGCAGGAATTACTTTCCATTATGTTCTCTGCTATATCTCCTATGCCAGTGATGGTGAACCTATGACACGCATGTCAGAGGTGACACGCGAACTCATTTTTTTGGTTGATTTTTCTTTGTTAAATGGCATTTAAATATATAAAATAAATATCAAAAATATAAGTCTTTGTTTTACTATGGTTGCAAATATCAAAAAATTTCTCTATGTGACATGGCACCGAAGTTAGGGTTTTTCAAAATGCTGACACGCCGAGCTCAAAAGGTTCGCCATCACTGTCCTATGCCAATGCTAAGAGTGAGGGAGTAAGAAAAAGAAAGAAAACTTGGACTGACAGCCCGAAGACTGGAGAAAACTGCAAACCATCCATGACAGACAGACTATGGACAAGAGGCAGGGAGAAGACCACCGGTGTACAGTAAGCCCTCAATTTTGCAGACCTCAATTTAACGGACTTTGGATTTAACAGACAACATTTCCAGTCAGTATGTCATATGTGAAATTTAACACCCTGTTAATTTGAAATTGCTTTTAACCAAGATTTGCTTATAATTAAATTAACAGGTTATTTTTTTTGTTATTGATTCAGTTCTTTTTAACAAATTTTAATGAATAGGCCATATATTGGAAAAAACACTGTAGTAATTTTGCCAACATAAATAAATATTATATATTTACAACTATAGTCTACATATTTAAATCCAAGAGTCACCACTTGTAAACAATGTTCAGCAAATGAGTAGCATGTGATCACACTGCATTGTGCTTGGTGATTGGTTCCGTTGTTAAGTGCATGACTTTCTGCAGCAGCTGTAATGCGTGCCAGCACGTGTTCCCACTTGCACAAAGCCACGCCCCAGCCGTGTGCATTTGTTTCTCGCAGCAACGGATGAGTGCACACATTTACCAGAACTATTCAGTATAAATTTAAAATTGCAGTAATACATATAGAAAAATTTTCTGTGAAATTAAACTTTCCATACATACTGAATTTTAATTATACAAATGTGTCTAAACAAGTGAAAACAGGTAAACTAATTTGTCAATTTTTTCACATATGCATTCGGAAAACCTAATTTATTATATAATGGACTTTCAGCTTTAACAGACACCCCTCTGCCCAAACTAGTCCGTTATATCAAGGTTTTACCGTGCTTATCCCTCAGGTAGAGAGAAGGGAAAGAAGGAAAATGTGATAAAAACACTTCTTAATCATTTATCTGGTTCACTAATATGTAAGGAAATAGCAAACCAGTCAACATCATCTAAGACCCACAACCCAGCATAATAAACCAACAAGAATGAAGCTCTGGAAACATACTGTTCTCTTGCTTCTGGATCCATCTTTTCATCGTTCTTTTTAATCAAGTTCCAGAATTTTCTTAGCTTAGGTGTCTTTTTTAATTCTAATTCCAAGCGTGCCTGAAAGAATTACGATATTAAATCATGATAACCTCAAAATTTTCAAGAATAAAGATTAGATCAACTATTAGTTTTCTAATGTATGAATATAACAGAGAGCAATGGGATAAAACCTGAAAACTAAGAAATGAGTAAGTATATTTTTAAAAACTGTTCATTTCTAACACTTAATAGAAAAAACTAAGACAAAAGAAAATGCCTTTTCTAGTCAAGATTTTAAGCTCAATAATCATTTAAATTCCCTTATTTCTAAAATTAATTTCAGTTCGAAAAATAGGAGCATTAACATTTACGAGCAAGATGATTAAAAACGTTTGAAAAATGAGTCTGCAGCAATAAACATAAAACAGATATTATAAGTAAACAGATACTACAAGTAAAAAGGTAATGTCCACATCACCATATGTTTTCTTATGGCACTTAGCAGTTTTTCACTTACTATTAATTATTTATGTGTCTGTTTTCATCCCCATTAACTGGTACCTAGAATGAGCTTGCATATCCGAGTGTCTGCAAAAACACCCATGCAGGAAATGGAATCCTGAATAAAGTATTACACTGAAATTTGAGTTTTAACTTTATTCCCTAAGGTCTGTTAATTTGACTTTGATATCAGTATATATTTCTAATAAGGATCTGATTTCTTAAAAAAGAAGTCATTGTTATTAAAATTGATCTAGACCTTCTCCTATAGCTGTATGTACATATTCCAATTAAGGAAAATAAAAATTCAATTCTGTATTGAGTCTCATCCAAAGACACACATTAAGATAACCATAGCCTGGCTGGTGTGGCTCAGTAGTTGAGCCAGGAGGTCACGGTTTGATTCCTGGTAAGGGCACATGCCCAGGTTTTGGGTTCGATCCCATGTGGGACGTGCAGTAGGTAGCCAATTGATGTCTCTCACAACATTCATGTTTCTATCTCTCTCTCCCTCTCCCTTACTCTCTGAAGTTGATAAAAATACTAAAAAAAGAAAAAGAATAACTGTATTTTGCTAAATTAAGGCCCTTCTATATGAGCTCAATAGATATTATCTTATATCACCTTATAATACTAAAATTAGGTAAAATATATATTGGTTTATACATAAGAACTTTAAAACTGAAAAACTAAATCTATGATAAAATGAATGTATGGTAAATTAGATACATTTCTTTTAAAGCAGGAAAAGGGATTTTTAGCTACCATTCTATACTCATATTAAAGCTACATAGTCTAAAACCACATGCTGCACTTATAACATATATACAAGTAAATTTCGAATTTAGATACTTACAGGCTGTAAGCCCATCCACATTGGGAGGGAGATAAGCTGCTGTACTTGACTTCGTATCAAGTCTACTTCCTGTTTAAAACATAAATTAAACAAGTTTATAAACGCATGAGCATTTTAACCTAAGTCTTTCACATACGCAACATACCGTCTTTTTAAATTCTTGCGGGGGAAAATGTGACCAATATTTTTAAATTAATGACACTGTAATATTAAGAAGTTCAATACTTTGTTTTAAAAGATACAGTTAATCCTCATTATTTGCACAATCTGTATTTGTGAATTCATCTACTTGCAAAAATGTATTTGTAACCCCAAATGCAACATCCTGACACTTTCAGTCATTCACAAACAACACAGAGCAGTGAAGATGTGAGTTATCCAACATGCATGTTTCTAGCTCTGCCTTCTCGTTTTAGCTCTTCTATAAACAAGTGTCCTCTTCCTGGTCTATTTAGTGCTACGTCTTCACATTTTTGTGCCTTTTTAGTGTGGTTTTGCTATTTAAAATGGCCCTCAACCACATGGTTGAAGTGTTGTCTATTGTTCCTAGGCTCAAGAAGGCTGTGATGTGCCTTACAGAGAAAGTGAGTTATATCAGATTTGTTCAGATGTAAGTCATGAGCCATTTGCAATGAATTCAACGTTAATGAGTCAACAATATATATTACATGAGGTGTGTTTAAACAGAAACATATAAAACAAGGTTATGTAGTGACTGGTTGATGAAAATGTGACCAGAGAGGCTTGCTGAACCTGACCTATATTTCCCCTGAGGAGCAATGGCTCAGGTTTAGCTAATTCGGTGTTCACAGAAACTTTAAAGAACATAACTACCTCAGATCATGAGAACTGACCATACATTGAAAAAATATAGAACATTTCAATAAGCTGGCTTTAAGTTAATTAAACCTCGCACCAAACTAATACTAATTAAATCTCGTTTCTGTTCAGTTTTTGATAAGGAATCACATCTATTTATATTTGCTTTGTTCGGTTTAATAAATGTTAAAGATGTGAAAATGACATTAAAAGGGGGCATTATAAATCTATTTTTTATGCCTTTACAAGATCCATGTGAGATAGTACATGGTAACAGGTAATAACCATCCCTCTACCAACATGCAGTCTCCAGGACAGGAAACAACCCCATGCATTCTCCTGTAGGGGTCTAAGTGCACATCAATTCAGAAGCACTTATCTTTAAATAAATAGGCATAACATTCAGATAACCACAGGAGGGAAGCACAAATAAAATATTTATTATTGTAAATATTTAATTTTTTACAAGATAATCTTATGAAGGGTTAGAAATGCATCATATACAACCCAAGAGACTTTCAAAGATCATCCACAAGTGCCCCTACTCAGTCAACTCAAAACAAGCCTCCTGCTGACCTGCCAGCCTGCGGTGAAGTATGACTGAGAGTAACGAAGGTGCTTCTGTCTGTAGCTATAGCACAGATCTCATCACTCAAAAGTCCTATTAACCAGACTCTCTGCTGATCTACCTTGGAGAGTTTCAGTTCTCATTATCATTTTTCTTAGAGTCTAATAGAAAAAAGAGAGAGCAAGTCCAAATCTATGAAAAAGCAAACATCTTATAAAATGGTTTAGAAGTGGCTGAAATAATTAAGCTGTTAGCTTTATTCTCATTGCCCACTGCTGTGAATGACGAGTTGCTACAGAAGTAAGATCATCTACAGTCAACTTAAAAGAACAAAAAAACCTGAAAGTTCCCCGAAAGTAAAGTCAAATTACCAAACTATTGAAGCAGTGATCAAGAAAAAGCAATAAGACTGTCTGTTCATGGAGTGAAAATTCACCATCAGTTTCAGCCAATGCTGCTTTCAAGATGCACTTGAAAAAGAATGGGAAGTGGTCTGGCTTCTTCTTGAAAGTCTGAGAAGAGAAAAATAAAAATTCATTTTGAAATAGCTTGCTCACTTCTTTTTCTTCCTTAAACAAGCACTGGTAGACTTTTTAGGAGTCTACTTAAAAAAACAAATAATTACCAAAAGATTATTTGCTTACTTATAATTAACTAGAGGCCCAGTGCGTGGATTCGTGCCCTCTCACAATCTGGGCCTGCTTGGAGGATGTCAGACTGCCAGTTTTGAGAGATGTAGTAGTGCACGAAGCTGCAGGTGGCCAGAGAGGAGCCCAAGCCCGACAGGGTGCTGCGCCACTCCGGCTCATCCCAGTCCCCTGCGCCTGCTGCCGCTGAACCCGCGTCTGGCACCCATTGGTCAGCTGAGCAGCGCTCCCACTGTGGGAGCACACTGATCACCAGGGGGCAACTCCTGCGTTGAGCGTTTGCCCCCTGGTGGCCAGTGCACATCATAGCGACCAGTCAAACGGTCGATCATGCTTAGGGTTTTATATATATAGGTGGTAGGTAGGCAAGTCAAATAGTATAGGTTTCTGGACTATTGAGAGTTGCAGAAATCTTTGGCTAATACAGTAATGGCTTTAATTTCTTTATCTTTTCTTCTGTGGATTATGCCTGTAACTACTTAGGCTTTATTGTTTCAGTAAGGATCCGAAGTGGTTTAAATATTCTGAATTAAAGAAAAGAAACTGCATCATCAGCAAAAATTATAGTGCTCCCACTTTAATTAATCTCAAGGACATCCTCTCCTTTTTTATATTCCCTCTTTACTCTTAACATGTAAATAATGTTTTTTTAAAAAGTATGAATAATGTAAAAATATTCAGTTCTCTCTCTGATCTACCTCTCTATTCAGTTTCTGCCACATCTCTCTCCTTTCATAGACAAGTGCTCCAAATGTACGGTCCACACTAGTTGTTTTCATTCACTTCTCTAAAACAACTTCACCCACAGCAGCCCCCTGAAACTGTTACACTGTCAAATCCAAAGGACTCTTACCCACCCTCAACTCATGTTCAATGTGCTGCAGGCTCCTCTTCCCTTTTTCCGGCAGTGGTTACCTAAAGTTCTAACCTCATACTTCTTCTACCCACCTCCCCGCCCCCCCAATACCACACTACCAAATGCTAATGATTCCAAATACACATCTTCTGTCCAGATTTCTCACTTTAGTTCTAATCTTACATTCCTCTGTAGTGATATCTTACATTCCAAAGGCAATTTAAACTTGATAAATCCAAAACTCAATTCAACAATTTTGTGCCCTCCAAAGTATTCCTCAATCCTCTTTTACCAATTTGGCAAATGGCATTATCTTTTCTATTCAGTTGACCAAGCCTGGAGCGTTATTGAAAATATTACCCTCCTCTAATGCTACAGTGATTATTAAGTCCAATCTATTCTACTTTCTAAATCTCTGTGTAACCACTTAATCTGCATTGCCATTTCTCTCTTTCAAACCACCAAAGTGGTCTTTATAATTTGCAAACTGATCTGGTCATTCTCTCACTCAAAAGATTTCCCCTCTTCTTTCCTAAGGTAGTCTGAAGCAACTTCAAGAAATCCGTAAGATCTCTCAATAAGACACAAGGCCCATATTTTACTTTGGGCTCTAATCTGCCATACATGGTAGTCACTTCATGAATATTTGACAAAAGAAACCATGCTTTTAATTTAAAGAGTCTAACACCTTTTCACTTTGGAGATGAACCCTCAAAAGAGATGTCAAGTATCCATTCCTTTTTTTTTCATTTAAAAAAGAATGACTGAAAGGGAAGAAACTCATTTTAGGGTGGCCAAAGGAAACCTAGATTTTGAACCTCTACTGACCAAGCCTCTATTATATTAAGCACAAAGAGAAAATGTCAGTTTATCAGAAGATTCAAAACAATAAAACGGATCCCAAATCAGAGACAAAGAGAAAACTGAAATGACAATATAAACATCTGTCTTGACTTTGGAAACACTATTTTATACACGTGAAACTACAGTTGTGAAATAAGGCACTGCAAAATATTAGCTCATTGAGCATTATCTATCTGCACTAATTAATATAAACTTCACTTTATCTGATGTAAAAGTCTTTATAATCCATGTCATTCTTTAAACACAAAGCAGAAAAATAATTCCACATTCATAATTTTTTTATTAATAGTAAATTAGTTTGAAGGAAGTATTGAAACCAAATGAAATCTAGTATTATTTTTTAATATATCTATTCTTTCTCTCAACATTTAGTTTATTACTGAGTAAAATTCTGTTCTGAAAATATTATTTAGTACTGGTAAAAAGTTCTGCTACTTTGCAATGGCTTTAAGTGAACACAGTATGAAGTAACTTAAATCTGTTACCTCCCAGGCAGGGACATTTTCTCTGAACTTCTCATTCACCATACAACAGATGGACATTAAATAGGCCTTGCTGGACACTTCCGGAGAATAATTCATCCAAAGGTAATTTTCAAGGTACTGGCTGTGAAGAGTGAAAAGGCATAGGTTATTTCTTTAGTTACTGACATTTGTATTATGTCATTTACCTAAAAAGCATATTATTTACAACTTTCTGAGACTATTCTGAATTTCTATTTGTAATTTGAGAAACATTCACAAATTTACTTGTAATCTGGGTCACTGCTACTTACTACAAACTTATGTATAGCAAATGCAGCTTTGGAGAGGGTCTTATACTTCAAATAGGAAGACATCAAAGATTACTGACATGTAATTATCACCACGAGAACATAAGGTCTGCCTTTACCTAAGTCTCTTTGTAGAGTAATAAATAAAAATATCTGACAAATGTCAGTTTTAAAACAAAATGAATGATGGGCAGTTTCAGAGAGAAATGTAATTGAGAATTAACATTGACTCCTATCAGAACCAAGTGACTTCCTAAGAAAGATACTTAACAATCAAGAATCTTTGTAATATTTAATTTACGAGGTATCCAATATAAGTCAGTTTTCAAGATAACTGGCATTTTCCCCTCAAGATGCCAAAATTCTTATTTTAAGACCGTGGTGAAGTATTCTTAATCAAATTACATGTTTCTGATTTCCAAATCATAACTTAGTCATTTCTTATTCAGGGTAGTTATAAGCATCAATTACTGTACTGGGCTGTACTCTAAAGCAGCGGTCGCCAACCTTTCGGACCTCACGGACCACCGGTTGGCAACTGCTGCTCTAAAGCACTAATTTTTAAAAAGCAGGGTTTGTTGTTCCTACTTTAAATTATTCCACATGCATAACATTTTAATCACTTACACCTGCATGTGCACACACAGACAAGTAAGTGTTTTAGATTCTGCTATGCACTATAATTTTTCTATTACTTCTATGCTTCAAAGATCTGCTCATATTAGTATTTCCATGAATCTATCTTTAGCAATCCTTCTTGCTTAATTTGTGAGAACCTAGGAAGCTGGATAAGGAATATTTTACTCAAAATAATGGTCAAGGCTTTAAGTTAGAAACTAAAGTGCTCTTTCATAAATAAAATGCATGAAGAATCATTTCATTCCTTTCTTACAAATTTAAATTCTTTATTTCTGAATTATGTCCATTAGAATTTCTGTTAGCAATAGTCTGTTAATGTGTCTGAAATTTCTTTTTTTCATGACAGTTTATCTGTTTATAGAAGTCTTTCTAGATTGATAGGTTTTTTTTCCTGTTTACTAATCTTACTGCATTATCTTCTCTATCATTACAATTGAGAATTTTATATTCAATCTATTTTTCTTCTTCTTCTTTGAGTAATCTTTTTATTGAGAAGATTTTAGTATCTTCACTCTTTGCTGCTCTGCAGTTACTCTGTTCACAATTTGCAATGTCACATCGAAATTATATAAAAGTCCCTGAAAAGTAACCAGTTTTTCAGTTATTAAAAATCGTTCACTGTCATTGGTGCCTGTGATTTGTTCTGCTGCTTTCTCCTTCGGTTCCTGCAATGCTTTGGTATCTGATATTTGTCAGGACCACAGAATTCTGGTTTTATCCTAATTGTATACCAGCATCCTCTTGATTTTTTTCCTGTCTTCTTGAAAGATGATATGATGAAAAGGGCATTATTAACCTAAGGGCCAGATGGGTACAATTCCTAGCCTCAGTATTTTCCTCTATAAAATAAGGAAGATCTTATTAGGTTTATTTAGTAACCTCAGTATGCTTTCTAGTCTTAACATTAAGTCTAAAATATTATAAAATTGTGGAGGGAATGTCAGATACCTCTCTTTATTATTTTTTTAATAGAAGTATTTCATTTTATATGAATAACCATGCTGTAGTTACAGGGTATCTCTCCAAAGGCAGGTCCAATTAAGTACTGAATACTTAAATGAGATCAAGTATTCAATAACAACACATTTCTTAGGCTACAGTAGGTAGTCAACTTACTAGTTAATTCATAACTATAAGCTTTAATTTCTCTCTGTAAAACTGGTAAGAACACCTGCTTCCTGCCATTTGTTTGTGAGGGTTAAATCAGTTTGTGTAAGTAGTAACAGCTGTTAAAAGAGAGACTCTGACCTCCGATGCAGACTAAACCTCAAGGTAGCGCAGAGAAACAGAAAAATGAGTTCTGGCATCCCAACTCTGCCAATTACCTGACTGCATTACCTTCAACAAATGACTCCATCTCTCTGATCTCAGGTTCTTCCTCCACTAAATGAGAAGTATAATACTGAATCTGCAGGGTCGCTATGAGAGCTCTGTATGTAAAATATTTAACATTGTGCCGATCTAGTACAAGACAAGTATTCAATAAATGGTAAATATTACTATCATAAACAACAACTCTGGCTTTTATTCCAGCCTACAGGCCATACCTGGTTGAAATATAACCTAATTTACCTTCATGATCTAAAAATTGTACATTCTCTTTAGTCTGAAATATTTATAAGTGGCTAGGTCAGAACAAGGCTGCCTTTGGTAACAGCAACTTAGCTTGGAAGGGGAAAAAATGGCTATAGAATGAACTCCAATTTACTTAGGCTGATGACTAGTTGAACCGAGTAGGAGTTCAGAAATTGCTCAGCACACACTTTCTTAATTATTGACAAACAATTCAAAATACTAGTTATAATGACAACGTAGCATCATCTTTCAAAACAAAGGATTTCATATACATATTCCAAAATAAGCAATCACAATACAAATCTTCAAAAATTTAAGAATTATTTTCTTAACCACTCACAGAAATGTATAAACAATTTATCTAAATGTTAAATCATACTGTCATATTTAACTTCATCAGAGTAAAGACTTTTAACTCACCTAAATTCCAAGAGCATTATCTTTCTGATGGCAAACCTAAAATTATAAAAATAAGAAAAATATTTAAATAGAAAATATAAACATTTCTGATTTATCAGTGTAGATGTATTTTGGAATCTTGTTCTAATTGACTCACATATCACAATAATCATAATTAGATATGCATTGATAAAAGTTAATTTTGCTTTTAGATTTTTTGGTTTGTGTTTTGTTTCAGAGTAGTTTATTTTTAAAAACTGCCAAAGAACAGTAACAAGTTCCCATGTAAGAAATACAATCAACACCATGACATACTAGGATATAACAGAGATTCACAGCCAAATAATTCTAATCAAAACACAAATGTTTGTTAATATTCATAATATTGGATTGAAACTGCCAAATGCTTGCATGTTTCAATTTCTTAAAAATGACCAACACTCGTTCATTTAATATTTAAATAGAAACAAGAGACACATGTATATATCACCATGTCTGGGAATCAGACTTTTCACATGCTTTTTAGTCTTAACATTAAGCCTAAAATATTACAAAACTGTGGAGGGAATATCAGATATCTCTATTATTTTTTTAATACAAGTATTTCATTTTATAAACCATGCTGTAATTCAGGGTATTTCTCCAAAGCAGGTCAAAAGGTCCACTAATTTAGTTTTATCATTTTGTATATTAGAAACAAGTAACCAGACCAGGACTCTGCCACTGGAAAATAGCCTCTGGCTTTAAAAATTAAATGAATTTTATATATATATATATATAACCCTAACATGCAAATAGGCCGAACAATGGAACAACCAAACAACCGGTCACTATGACATGCACTGACCACCAGGGGGTGCACAGAACATGGTGGGCATCGGCCATGATGGGATGGTGGAGCAGGTGAGCCGGGGTGCCAGACCAAGGCAGAGCCCACGGCGGGATGGTGGACCAGGTGAGCGGGGGCCAGTTGCTGTCATCGGGTCAAGCCTGTGGTGGTTACTGAAAATTCTTTGCTCCCGCACACAGCGGTCCCATCCGGCACTCACACCTGCTGCCAGCATTGGCCCCGCTTGCACCCGCTGCAGGCACCAGCACTGCCGTGAGCAGCAGACCACCAGGGGGTGTGCACAGAACATGGCGGGTGACAGCAGCAGGTAGCAGAGCTCAGAACATGGTGGTCAGGCCACGGCGGGGTGGGGGACCAGGTGGGGGGGGCCAAGCCTGTGGTGGTTACTGAAAATTCTTTGCTCCCGCACACAGCGGTCCCATCCGGCACTCACACCTGCTGCCAGCATTGGCCCCGCTTGCACCCGCTGCAGGCACCAGCACTGCCGTGAGCAGCAGCTACCAGCCTTGATTGCCCCTCAGAGCTTCTCCACCTCCCCCTGCCCCTCAGGGGCAATTGCGGCTGGCAGCTGCTGCTTGTACCCGCTGCTGGCAACAGCCCCACACGCATCCACAGCTGGCGCCAGAGCCACCACTCGCACCTGCTGCTGGCAGAGAGGGTACGGCTGTGGTGGGAGGGGCCCGGCGGGGGTGTGGAGGATGTGCTAAGACCCGCCTTGTGCCCACCGTAGCCTCGTGGCCCACAGTCCTTTCATGGTGCATGAATTCATACACGGGGCCCCTAGTGAATATATAATATCCTAAGAGACCATTACCCTGTCAAAAATCTTATTCCACCAATTTCTGATCTCTTAAATAGTTTCTCTAAGTAAGCAATGTCATAGAACTTTAGTGAGAGAGAAATGAGGGTTTTTACTGTGTAAAAGCACCAAGATAGAACACTGCCAACGTACAGGCTGCCAGAGCCAGTCAGTCCACTGAGAGATACAGCCACTTATGTGACACCCTCTCCAGCTGCAGACATTTCCCTTTAATTGCAGATTGGACAACAGAACTCACAAAGTGCCACTTTGCACATAACTGCAGCCTCCTGTGGGATTGGACCTAAACTGGCAGTCAGACATCCACCCAAGGGGTCCCAGATTGGAGCGGGTGCAGGGCGAGCTGAGGGTCACCCCCCCCCACACACACACACACACACCCCCGCCCCTGTGCACGAATTTCATGCACTGGACCTCTAGTAAGATATATTTTATATCTTACAAAATGGGTCTAGGACTAGACATCATGTCAGAAGAAGCCATTTAAAGATAAGAATGAAAAGCTAAAAGTAACAATAATAAATATAAGTAATTTAAAGGATTTGGGGATGGTTGTTTTTTTGTTAGCAATATTTACTGAAAGCATGTTTCCTGCCCGACTCGGTTCTAAGAGTTTAACATGAATTTCATTAAATCTTCCTAAAGTTGAGTAATTTATGTACAATAAATTGGGTCTATTAACTCTATTGTTAACTGGCTCATTAAATTTGATAAGGAAAAGAGGTGCGTGCAAAGGGAACTTCTGTTGCTGCTGTAATTGTCCCTGCTTCCTTTCTTGGGCTATGGTTGTGTGAAAACATGAGGTCTGGAGCTGCGGAGCCCCCGGCAACCACCCAGGGAAAGCCAACAAATATATTGTTAAAAGGCCGATAAGGGCCCTGACATGCCAGACTTCTGGTCTACCTACTTCCAGATATATTATTAAGTAGATGATTGTTAAGTAAAAAACAATAATTGTGTGCAAAAGAAGCCAGGTACAAAAGATTACATACTGTGTGATTCTATTTACTTTTAGTTCAAAAGCAAGCAAAACTGACCTATAGTGTTCATTTTGCATATTTACGTATTAAAATGGTAAAGGAAAGGGGCATGCAAGGGCTTCTGGGATGCTGACAATTTTTCTTTCGTTTTTACCTTGGTGGTGGTTATAAATTACTAGAGGCCGGTGCACAAAACTTTGTGCACTCGGGGGAAGGGGGGGTCCCTCAGACTGGCCTGTGCCCTCTTGCAGTCTGGGACCCCTCGGGAGATAACAACCTGCTGGCTTAGGCCTGCTCCCGGGTGGCAGAGGGCAGGCCCAATCCCTAGGTGCAGCCCCTGGTCGGGCTCAGAGCAGGGCCGATTGGGGAGTTGGGGCGCCGCCCCGTCATGCACAGAGCAGGGGGATTGGGAGGTTGTGATCCCACCCTCAGTCACAATCAGGGCAGGGCCGATTGGGGGGTTGGGGCACCGTCCCTTGTCACACTCAAGGCAGGGTCGATGGGGAGGTTGCGGCGCCACCC